GCACCCGAAGCTCCTCAGGGGAAAAATCCACCTGGCGCACCTCAAGCTCCAGAGTAACGACACGCACCTCTGCCGCCTTTGTGCCGATGGACGTTTCCTTCGTCACTTTACGCCGCGTCTTCGTGCGCACGTGATCGCCGAGAAGCAGGAAGTTGTACAGGTGCCACAAGTCCTCAGTGGTGCTGACCGTCACCTTCACCTCCACCTCCCCATCGGGTCGCACTGCCTTTCGCAGGAGACGCATGCTACGGAGAGCTGCCACTTGCCAACAACTAGGAAGGAAGGCAAGCGTGAGAGGGAGAGAGAGCGAGAGCGAGGGAGAGAGCGAGAGCGAGGGAGAGAGCGAGAGCGAGGGAGAGAGCGAGAGCGAGAGCGAGGGAGAGAGCAAGAGAGAGCTGCACAGAAGGACGCGGCCAAGCAATAGCTACATGTATATATGCATATCATGAAAAATGCTCCGAAGGCAATTCCACCGGAAGTGTTTCACACAATTCAGTCGGGGTGCGTACTTGTGAAATCTCATGCTGAGAGCACCCGCAGAGCCACACCCAGAGGCCAGAGAGAAAGAGAAAAAGGAAGACCGATGGAAAAATTAAGCGGCAGTACTCCACTGACAAGATCACAGGAGAAAACAAGCAAAAATCCCTCCCCCACCGCCACCGCCACCACCAAAAAAAACACGCATAAAGACAAAACCACACGCACATGTGCACACTCAAAAGTGAAGCATTTTAAACTTGTAAGCCCACTCTTGCATTGTTTCTTTGCTTGGCTGCATCACGGGAAGAGAACGTAGGGGCGGATACGCTCATTCTTCAAGCAATGTTCCGCCATCGATAATATCTCACTGCCACGCTTGGAGCAGTAAAGGAGTCCTTCATCCCCAACGGTGCGATAGATACGCCTTGGAAGACGTTGCTTCATCCTCCAGGCAAACACAGTCTCATTACTCGGACCGCCAGTATACTGCGTCAACTCACGAATACGCCGCAGTAGTGGGCCGTTAAAGAGACAAAAGGTAGCCGTTCCATTCGTCCTGAAGGCTGCATATGAAGTTGTGAGTGGATTCCGGCGTGGACGTCGGCGGTAGAAAGTCATGCCATGGTCAAGGTACACGAACGTGGGGTGATTTGGGTGAAGCATAAAGTTGTTGCTTGCAGTTGGGCTGACACGCGTCGCGCCCACCACGAAGTTGTTCTTGTTCGGTGAGCGATCCAGGTTTCCCACAACGTAGTCAAACATGCTCAACGTGGCCAAGTGGAGAACACCGGCGTAGCTCCTCCGCCGAATGAAGCCCACCACATCCTCGCCCGTGAGGTTGTTGATGTCAAAGAAAGCATGCCACGTGTCACTGTGAGGGTTGTAGGGAATGCGCATCACACTAGACAAAAAGTGACCCACGTCAGCAATTTTAAGTTGAATAGACACAGCTATGCAGTCGTCGCCGTTTGTGGAACGCACCAAAAACTGGCTGTGAGGCACGTAGTCAAAGAGATCCTTCCTCACCCATTCCTCATAGCTTGCGACGCCAGAGGCTCGAAGGAATTCCGCGTTGGTCTCCACAAGATGCTTGTACTTTGCCACACTGGCCTCAAACATCGAAAGTGGTAAACACGCCCAGCCGGTGGGTGGTACACGATGCGTCAGTAGGAGGCGATCCGCATGAAACGCCGCCACCTCTCCCACTGGCTCTAAAGGAAAAAGGCGCTGCGGCACTTTTATGATGGTTTCCAATGGTTGTTGGATCACCTCACCACTTGCATCGCGAATGGAATTAAAAACAATTCCAAACTTAATAGTACGCTGATCCATGGACTGCGAAATCGGCACAAGCTCTCCCCAGTTTGAGGAGTTTGTCATGAAATTAATGCAGCGCCGGTCTTGACGGGGGTTGAAAGGGACGGAGAGGGCATCACACCCTGTGAGGTCCTTCACCTTGCGGTGTCTCACGTAGCGCCGCCTCATCTCTTCCTCCGTCACACCTAGCGAGGTGAGTCGTGTGCAGCTGACATTTGTGACTGTCCACTCGTCCAGTGAGCCTTCATGGTCTGCCATCATGGCAGGCCCCCAGTACTTGCGCGCGACAACGCCCTCGAGAAGGCTTTCGATACCGCCTGTAAAGCCCCAAAGTGCGCTATCCTCTTCGTACAAGGCACTCTGGGAAGGCGCAGTACCCCTCGCGCGGTCGACGGCTTCCGCATCAGAGTAGTCATCGACAGGAGGTGGCGCGCCACACTCTTTAGGAGTCCTGATAAACTCCAAGTACACAAACGACGCCACCGACAGGAGAAGAAAAACGCGTATGAAATGACGCCGATGCAGACTCCGTCTCTGTCGCGGGAATGCCCTATTCTCTTTCATATTGATTTTGCCTTTTATATTCCTTATCCTTCTCTCTTGATTTCGACGATCCCTCCTCGCCCCCCTCCTCCCTCTTGGCCGGTGTCGCTAATGAGCGCTGGTCCACACGGTACCTTCCTGTGCCGGGCCTCGTTGCGGGGTCCCCAAGCAGTACATATACGAGTTGCCGAGACACCCCACCCACCGCCCTTCCCCTTCCCTTCCCCCCGGGTCCAGTGCCGTGGGAGCTGCCTTTGCGCCGGCCCCAAATCTAACGCAGGAAGGAAGCGAGAAGGCAGCGCGAACGAGCAAAAAACCGAGTAAAAAAGAAAAAAGAA